AGATCTTGTCATGAGAAAAAGTATGTTAAAGTATCTGCAAAATGAACAAAATGTTTAATTATGAAGTGTGACATCCATTAAACCTCATATTTGAAACAATACGTGTTAAACTATAAGAATAAATAACATCTATTCTCGTTTAACAAACAAGAATTAAAAATTATTGGCTTGATTTTTATTATTTCACAATTATGAATTTATATTAATGAGTGATGTTCTATTTTCTTCGCAAAAGCTTGAAAATAAAAAATAGATATAATCAATTAATATAGTAAGAAGCATGAGATAAACATATTTACAGTGTGTCTTATGAACTTTGTAGAAAAAAAAACTCGCTTTTTTCTTTGATTTAATAATAACCTTTTGCTGAGAAGTGTTCTCGGAAGTTGATCAACTTATCAAGCCAAAAGCATAACATTAAATTTTTAATCTATTATGAGTTAATTAAGAAAAAGCTGTTAGCACAATTCATGCGGGATTAAAATGCAAAACCATGTAGCTGCTGTTGCTAATCACATGAAATAACTTTATTCTATCTATTTTGGAATGCATCTTTTTATTATCCATTTACTTAGTTCTCCAGAAATGCAATAATGAAATCGTTCGCATCTTAGAACGAGACATTATTCGTATACAGTCTTTGATTGCATATCAACAACGTCTGTCATGGTCTGTGACAGAGAGGAGGGACGTTGTTAAGACGGCTGTCAAGGCCTTTGATGGTATCTGACTAGTGTCTGTGCGAAGGTGTAGCTTCAAATTTCTATCTCAATACTTCGACACTCATTTTAGCTCATGTTTTAGAAAAGTCGAAATAGTAAACTAGAACTATCATAACAAATTTTTTCTCAAATTATAAAATGTACTTCCGAAGACAATGGATTTATCCAGCTATTTATGTTATATAATAGTATTCCTAATACATTAATTTTGAAACTTGTTCAATTAGAATGAACAATATTTCTTCTGAAAAGAAGTTCAACGACATATTATACATAGAATATGTAGTTGAAATTGATTACTCAAACTATTTTTGTTAATCCTTATCATTATAAAATATATACTATATGCTACAAAAATCGTAAAGTAGAATTAAAAAATTTATTGATTAGATATATTTTTGAACATTTTTCATATCCTACTTAAGTTTATTGATGAACATTATATAAAGATAATAAGTGACGAGCTATTTTAAGTAGTTTTCATTTAAGTGACAAATATAACAACGTATAATTAAACATGAGTGTTTTATTTTCTAGAATATAGCATGATAATTATATATTAATATAATTGGGCGTCATTATAGTAGTATGATTATCCATTGGACACGTTTGTACTGAATTCTCTATAATTTAGAGAAAAAATAAAAATTTCAAACTTAGTTTTGACGATAAAAGTACCAAAAAATAAACATTGAAGAGATGTATTGATTTGTGCTTAAATTGATACATAATTAGCAAGACGATATTTTTCTTGAAAGTATATCCAATTTTATCAGTCTAATTTATATGTTCGATTAGAAAAGTTTAAAATAATAATTGACAAAGAATTATGCTGCTTCGTTTTAAAAAAGATGATTTTGATACCACATTAAAATTGTATTCTGTTCCAAGTATTTTTTGAAAGCATTCAAGTATAATTTATAAGTAAAACTCATATTTACGCACAAACGATTCATGAGGATTGAATCATTGTCATTAAGCAGACTATGAACATCTTTCTGTGATACATTCTAAAGTTATAAACTTAAATTGATGAGCTATATTCATGCCAACTGTCATTGTGATAATAATTGATGAAACGAACTCTATTAAATAAATAATTCATTGGATAAAGTAATTTGTATGATATTTTTTGAATTGTATAATGTACATCGATTTTTCAGGTTTTTTAAGAGAATATGAATTAATTGATTTATTTTTCTAACCATATTTGATGATTTATATAAAAATTAACTTCTTGTTCGAATTTCAATTGTTGCAATTGACCTTTTATCTTGTAGTCGAAATAGTTAAAATTTGAATACTTAAGTAATGAATATTGTTTGATCATTTACAAGTATATGTAAATTGAGTTGAATTGAAGTGTATTTCATAAGAAAAATGCAAAACCAAAATTAAAAAAAAGCAGTTGAACCATTTTATATTTCTCTATTCCGAAACTCTGATAAATTAAAGCATTGTAAAAGATTTTATTAGCTTTTAAAAGTTGATTCAATAAAGAGCATTCTCAATATGTTGACCGATAATGTGAATTCTAAGGATTCACTGAATCAGATTTTACTATATCATAAAGTTTTGAAGAAACTATTTAAATTATTTCGCTTTTTCTTTGTTAATTTAAAAGATGACTTATTTATCATTAAAAAATTTTTAAGGCACTCATCCCTCTCAAAAATCTATTGTATGCTACATACATTCAAATTGCCTGAAAATTTTCAACATATTTTGAAAAGTATGTATGCTCTTCGCCGAAAAACACTTCGTCGAAAGTATGTTTTTGGCTACGGAGACTGCTTCAAAGGTGAGAATGAGGGCAAAATGAGTTGACCTCTTCAGACTTAACAAGCCTGTATACGAATTAAAGGGCCTACAATAGTCTAAAGCATCCCACCAGTCTTTCGATGAAATGCGTTTCGGCGAAGAGCATTACATCCTTTTGAAACTGTAGTGAAGTGATTATGATAAAATTTCCAATTTTATACCATGACATTTAACCGAGATATTTACCAAACCAATGTCATAAATAAGTCATTTAATGACTCAAGCTTTCCTGTAAATTCTCGACCTGTATATTTAACTTTTTTGTTTGACAGAGCATACAAACATGCAGCGCATGTCATAGTTTTTTTTTAATTCTTGCTTTGTGTGGAGAATACGCTTGACAAGTTCGACGCCACAAGAAACTCCCTGAACATGATGATCTATATATAGAAGTGCTTGTTTATATTATTAAAACAAAGATTAATGGGGAAAAGAGTCTGTGTAATGTCCTATATTTTTAAATGCTTTTTCAAACAGAAAAAACCAAACGCAATCAACACTGATGAAGCTCTTTGAAGAAACCTGGAATACATAATCAAAAAAAGCACAAGGAGAAAAAACGGAAAAAAGGTTTTTTTGAAAAGAAATTTTTATAATGTCTGAGACCTGAAAACTCTTCTTAATAATTATGAATTAGTAGGATTTGTTCTGAGTGTTGGAAAAACTTTTTCTTTTATACAACTTAGTAAAACGTGCTAAGACACGTTTACAATCTCCAAGAATCCCTATTGTCTTATATGAACATTACAAAATATATGTCTATGAAAAAAATTGTTTTTCTTTTTGTAACGTGACTGACATCATCGAAAATTATATTAAAAGATAAGACGCCGACTAACAAACTACTTTGATTATGAAAGATCAGATTTCAGATTATTCTTCCACACTTTTATCTCAATTTTGATTTTTCTCACAAAAATTGACTTTTTGGAGGATGCAAGCAAAGGATTAATCCATGGTTAAGATCATGTAAATAATTGTTGCAAAATAATTGAATCATAAAAGTTTCTTTATGAAATTATTTCAGGAGAAAAAAAAGAAGCAACTACTCGTCTAAAAATATTTTTTTGATACTTTATTGAACGCGCATATCACATTTTGTACTTGAAAAAATTAACGAAAATATATGTTAGCTCGAGCATAAGTTTAACAATTCTGTGCTCTCACAAATATCAAAATCTGCTGTGTTCGAACGAAAAATGCTAGAAGTCTATAAGTTTTTCCCTAACAGATAGAGGAATGTATGTACTTTGAAATGCATATTCAGAATAAAATTTAAAATCTAGTTTAATGTATTCAATTTTAATGTTTTTAAAACGACTAAGCAAGAGCTTGTTACCACGGGTAATTATTTTTCTATTTTTTTCTTGTTTTAGTTTGCATTATGTTGACTGAAGAAAGAAGATAATAAGTCTAAACTTGTAAAAAGAGAAGGCTGTGAAATCTAGTTTTTCTATTTTTCTGCGTGGTCAGCATAGGCGCTAACCAGCATTAATAGTAAAACCAGTAGATTTCATGGTTTTTGACAAAAGTTTTAGATATTTGTAAGAACACAAAATTTCGAAGATGTTCAAAGTATGCAAATTTTTGAAGCCTACAAGAATATATATAAAACTTTAGCAAAATACATTGTATTGAGCTTATAGATGGCAGAAACAACGTACAAAATCGAATTTGACACCAATTTCGACGTACTAGGAAACTTTAATAACTCGTGAGTAATACATGGTAATACATCCATTTGACTTAAATCTTTTTTTTAATCACAGCTTACATAGCTATTCAAAATTTATATCCTATTTGAAAGCATTTCCAACAGACGAAGGTTTTTGAAAACTCGTCTAAATGCATTGTTAGAAATTCTTATCTACTTCGGATTAAAGCACATACATAGCCATAATATGAAAGAACTCCTTATTTTACATTTGTGAGAAACCATTTTTAATGGTTCTACAAGCATTCAAATTTAATGTTTTGAATTTTTTCATAATCTCTTTCGAAATATGCATTTCAATATATATATTTTGCTCTATTTATGAGTGAAAACGTTAGGCTTCTACTATGTATTGTTCACAAACAGTAGATCTCAACATTTATGCGGCGAATACCTATGCATCTTAGGTTATGAATAAAGATCAGCCAAAAGAAACCTTTATTCCAAATTCAATTGATTTAACTATGATATATTCCAAATTGGCAATTAATATACTAGTAGTAGAATGCTATTAAGGACCTTCAAAAACAAACTTAGTGGTAGTCATACACATCATATTTCATCATGCCAGTTGTACGTGGAAAAAAAGACATTTAAAAGCAACATTTGCTTATATTTCTTTCAATTAGCAAGCAAACATTGCTCAACGAGTTATGAGATTCTATCGTAAAATAATAAAATTTATATATACACAATGTTTTTGTCCGATGAGAAGTATTTTATCTAAATTATTCAAAACAATTTTATGTTATTTTTAATTTGTTTTCAACACATGAACTAAATTTATCAATTTTTGTCATATTAGCAGTCATTTTCTCATTTGCAATTGATACAATTTGGGAAATATAATTTTCATCAACACATAAACGTCCTCCAATCACTAATGGTACTTCAAGTGCATGAGTTGAACGTACAGCAAGTGTAATTTTTCCTTGATTTGATATGACTAAACCTGAATTTCTATAACCACATTCAAGAGCAATATTGAGTAAGATTTTTGCACATTCTAATGTTCGACAAATAACATGTAAAATAAATGCTTCAAATTTAATTGAAATCATATCAATATCTTTTGGTCGTTGTTCTAAACAATTCAATATAGCATTTAAATCAGCTTGTTCATGTGTAACATATAACCATTGACAATCACTTTTTGTTGATGATGTTACAATTGGCGTTGAAGAAAAAACAATTGTTCGACCAGAGCATGAGGAACTTGTATAATAATCATTATGATTATTTATTTGATTAATTAAATTAACAATATAATCATCTATAGAATGTTTACGTGATAAGTCTTCTTTATCATGTGATAATGCATCGTGTTTCCATTGATCGAAATGTTTAGACATTTTCTTTTCGTTTTCGTGAATAAATCAAAATCTACAATGGTTATCTTCTTGAATTTTTTTGGTAAAAAGAAAAAAAAGAAAAAATACATTTTGATTTTTTTTTTGTATCATTAGTATACAAATCGTACAATTTACAAAATAAATAAAGTTACATAAATGATCTACTTAATTTCCATTTGTAAGCTGATTTATTTCTTTATATGAGACTAGTATTATTCTTATTCAAAAGCGATACCAAGAAGAAAACCACCGATAAATGAAGATGTTATAGCTAAATTTGCAAAAGCAAATTTTTTTAACTAAAATAAAAACAAAAACAACAGATACTTATAAATATGAAACGATTAATTTCTATTAAATTACATACTGAATCAGTTATACTGTTTGATGATTGATCAATAAATGTTTCAATCTCTTCTCCATCTATATTATTTGTTAGTGGTGAAAGATTCGATCTCGCTACACGTTGAACATTATTTAATTGTTGTTGTGCTGTATCACGAACTCGATCAAAATGAATATCAATATAACCAGATTGATTAGCAAGCTAGACAAAAATAATAGATCACAGCACTTTTGATCAACAAAAAGGAAAATACTTTGGATCATCAACTTTTCCTTCAGTATTCTTTTCACTCAACTATTTTTCAATAAAATGTAGGTGCTACGCTAGGCCAACAACAACCTCATCTTTTGACTCCTTGATGTTCTCACTCTTACTCTAGGTGCAGGGTGAAATATTTGTTTTTCGTCCCATTAGACTGATAAATTTATGCAGTGCATGGACATCCTGATACAAGTGGAAATTAGAAATATTTTCGTACTGAAGCAGACTTAGAAAACATTAAATTTTGTAGGACTAAATATGGTGTTCTACATTTTCATTAAATTAAAGTAGTCTGCCTTCGTAAAAAATGAAAAACTGTACCGCAAACTCGAGGTAGATAAACTAGAAGCTGTCGTCAGTATTCTTGGTCTTCGGTGGTTGAACTTAGATGTTTAGAAAATATTTTCAACAAAGTGAAGAAACCCACAATGTAGTTGCTTTTTTGTGAACACTAATGCCTCCATATAATTCTATTTTTCAATATAATAAATTCGAAAACGCTTCTTTTAATAGTCAAAAATTAAATAAAAGCAAATGTTGGCCTGTGCTTTTAAGTGCACATCTGTTGAAGAAGTTGCGAATCTTTTCTGAACTGAACTAGCTTTATACAGTACAAAATGTGAGCTGGAAATAAAAAGCACTAATCGTATTTCATCTAAATGGTTTAAAAAGATTCACTCTCTTCCTCTTCATTCTTACATTCTCGATGAGAATCTTATAAAGATTGTTGAGCCTAGGGTAGATTTAAAACGTTTCGCCACCTATAAAGATGAATGAGAATTGATGTGTATTGTGTAGAAGTACTCGAAAAGAGATAGCGAAAAATCACAACTCGAAAAAACTTTGTCGTCAAAAGTACTTTTTCTCAAGATAATTCTGGAAAAAAAATGAGAACTAAAAGTGAAAATAAAACTTACAGCTAACCCAATAATAGATGCACCAATAGTAAATGCTACCATTTTACTAGCTTTTGCAAAACAATATCCCGCTGCACTATAATATAGATTTAAAGTAACAACAGTTTATATTACATGTCAATGAACTTACATGCCCGAAAGACCACCGACAGCAGCTTGCTTTGGAGGACTTAATTGAGTAATTTCATGAAGTGCACGTTCAACAATTTGATGCATTGTTCGATCATCATCATAAGCACGATTGGGAGTAGCAGCTAAAAGTTAATTTTTTTTTCTAGTTTAATATTAATTCTAAATGAAACCTGTGCGAGGTTGAATAACTGCAGGACTTCGATAATTTCTATCTCTTGATTCCATGACCAAACAAAAACCAATAAAAAGTTTAAAGAAATAAAATTAAAATTTAGTCTAAAACAAGAAATTCTCTTTTGTTAAACAAATTAATGGAAAAGATTTATAGAAAAAAAAAAGGAAAGAGAAAAATCGGACGGAATTCATTATAATTAAAAGAAATATTCAATGATAATGTATCTATAAACTGAGATTCGTCATTGACAAATACCAATAACACCAGCAGCAAGTCGATTAGTACCAACTGTAGTTGTTCCTTTATTTTCTTCAGTTTCAACTCGTGCTAACTCTTCTTCTTTTTCATCAATAATTACTACTGACCGACCAATAATAGACGATGGACCAAATAAAGTTAACCGTTTATCAATAACATCAATTTTAGCTTGACCTTCTTGATTCACTTGTAAATTACCAAACTCATCACCAACATAGGATGTTTGACCTTTTGATGAACTTGGAACTTGTTTGTCTGTATTAAAACGACTACCAGTTGATATAGGACCATTTGTTAAATCACCAAATTCATGTACATGTATAGTAAATTTACGATCAATCGGTAAACCTTGTATTTCACCTGTTATTTTCATTTGATTCATGCCAATCATTTGAGCAAAATGAATTACTCCTTGAATAGTATTATTTTCACCACCTTTAAGAACACATACAGCTCGAACGGTAGCTGAATCTTGTTGACTTGGCATTATTTTAATAGAGTTTTGTATCTAGAAACTAATAAAATTTATTTATTAAAAATTTCACTTCTATGTTTCATAAAAACTTGCAAAAGCAATCAATCAAAAAAGTAATAACATAACCTGTTATATAGTGTTTTGATATAAATTGAATATATTCTAAACAAATTAAATCTCATTCAACTTGTTATATCATTTGTGCTTGTTTATGCATAGTTTGCAAACATTGTTAACTACTTTATTTACAACAAAAAATTATTTTCTGCTTACACCACCATCAGAACGTTTCTCATTTTGTTTTAATAAAAATTTAGTAACTCCACGTATTAAATTATTTTCACTTTAAGGAAATCTATTTCCTGTATTTTGTATCCATTCACAAACATCTTTTTTCTGTCTATCCAAAAAAACCAGCAGTTTCTATGGCGTAATCCATATTTTACCAATTCCTACAATAAACATTTTCATTCCAATCTAAAAAGATGTAGTATGTCTATCAAAGAAAAAAAAATCTAGTTCTCATTAATCAAAAAAATCTTGAATCCTTTTTATTTAAACATCACAAATAAAGAAGCAATCTTTAATCAAAAACATAAAGATGTTTAATTTGAACACATCATCACTAACAATGAACATGACATAGCTTGTTTATTTAAGATTTAATCAATGACATATGAAAGGAGAAATTAAAGAGGTTCGAAAAAAAAGCTAGACTAATTTCGAGCGAAGGAAATGTTTATATGATTCCATTACTTTTTTTCTGGATTGACAGTACCAACAATACCACAAGCTAAACGTTTTCCAGCATTACCAGTTTTTTTCGATTCTTCGTCACCACCACGACCCAAATCATCTGGTTTTTCATGAACAACCAAACAACGACCCAGAATTGAATGTTCACCATGAAGAGCTATTACTTTATCTTTGATATTCAATGTTGCCACACCATGAGCATCTGATTGAACATTTCCTAAATCACCTACATGTCTTTAAAAAAGACAACAAAATCGAATTACAAAACCAAAAAAAAAACAGACAAGAGCTAATTTTACCGATCAGCATCATCAGGACCAGCATGTTGTTTTTTATGGGGATTAAAATGTGTACCAGCGGATGTACATCCCTATAAAATCAAATATATAAATCAAAAACAACCAAAACATAAAACTTACATTGCTAACATCACCAAATTCATGAATATGAAAACCATGTTGTGTATTTTCTCCAAGTCCTTCAATTTTTCCTGTAACAACAACTGTATCACCATTTTGTTCAAATTCAACAACACCATAAACTGGTTTTTTTGATGATCCAGCTGTCGTACTCAATTTTCCTTCGCTTGACGTTTCTCCACTTCCACGACCCCATTGATCTTTATTACCAGCCACATGAACTTCATCACCGATCAATACAGCTTTAGCCCGTAAGGTAGTCATGTTTAGTAATAATAAAACTTGTAAATAATTTTTCTGAAAATGTAAGACAATAAATAAACGATTTAAAGTGCACTCAGTAACACATAATACAAAAGAGGGTAGCGCCCCAAACACCCTTCATCAAATGAATGACTCATTCAAGTTTTTAGGATTTATTGGCAGCTTAAACAGACGAATAGAAAATAAAGAAAAGAATGGAAATGAACAATAAAATTCAAACAATTTAATAGAAATAATAGGAGTTATTATAAAATATTCTTTCCTTGTTAATGAAAAAATCAAACCTTTATCAAAATAAATAAAATATATATAAAAAAAAAAGAGTTTCTCCTTAAGTGTCTTTTAATAATTGGTGGCAGGGACAGAGCGATAGAGATGCGGATACTCCGTAAGATTACGCACACTCCTTTCATCCTCGCAAAGTATTGCGCCATCTAATGTGCATATAGGGTGTGTATGATTTGAAAAAGAATCAAGATACGAACCTCCTACTTTGAGAAAACTTTCATTTTTTTCTCAACAGAAATCGTTCTTTTTATTCAAAAAAAAGATCATCTCATAACAACAAACAACTCGCGCCTTTTCATTTTGAAAAACTTGTATTACACTATTTCAACTCTCTATCTTATCATGCCTTAGATGTGTTAATCTAGTTTCTTAATAAAAAGTTTTCAATCATTTCTTCAATATTTTTTGATTTAGCTTTCATAATAGCAAGTTCATTTTCATATTGTCCAGTCGAATTTTCATCATCTAAAAAGGATACTATAGATTAATAAGTCATCTTTGAACGAAAATTTATACTAGTAGTAATAGATGTTTTTATTATTGATTGTGATGAACGTTTTGATTCTGTTTGATCATCATTTAAATTATATATTATTGAAATATCTGATTCTATCATTATTTCTTCTATTGTGCGTTGATGTACAGGTTTGACATCGTTGCTTTTTGTTTCATAGTCATTCTCTGTTGTATTACTTCTACTTGATACACTTTGAATTGTATCGTTATCTGAAGCAGTCTCAGTAAAAGATGGATTAATAGATCTATCGGATTTTTCTATGGTAATTTTTGATGATGATTCAAGATTATCAGTTATTTCATTTTCAAAGAAATTAAACTCATCAATTTGATCAATTTTATACTAAAAACATAGATAAAAATCCTTTGATTTTTATTATAAAAATCTAACTAACTAAGCGTTTAATGAGATAAACTATAAATGATAAATCATGAATGTTCGAATATATTAAAAAAAGTTCATTTAATTTAAGATAATCACGATTTTTTAACTTCAAATAAGAGCATTTTTCAATTTTATTAATAATATGTGATTTAAAAGAATGACGAATATAGTAACGACATAAATGTTTTAGTGAAAATACATAAAAACTTGCATAGTGTAAACAAGTATGAATAAATGTGACATAAGTTGTATGTAAATTATAATTATTTATATACAAATGACACTAAAATACAAATCAAAATCATCAAAACTTTGTAAAAAGAAAGTGATATTTATCATGTTCACTGGTTCATCATTATTATCGATTGATCTTTTTGATTTTTGTTCATCATTCATCATAAATTTGCACATCGGTATAATATTTCGTAATAATGTTTTATTTGTTGCTAATGCATAAAATATTAATACAAAAACAATCGAGACACTTGATGAAGATGAAATATTATTAATTAATAATACATGTGGATCATTAACAATACAATGTATAAGTACACTTGATATGTTTACATTATCCGTATTACATAAAGCAAATACTGCAGAATTCCATGAATGAAGTTCAAGAAGTCGTTCAACAAGTAAACGATGATCTTGATCAGTACCAATGATAATTGATTGTAGACGATGAAATAAAGTGTTCATATGTAATGGCATTGTAAGATCTTTCAGTTTATGATATACATGTAATAAGAGATTTTCACCAATTTTACCATTTTTTGTAATATGAAAATTATATGAAAGTTCGTCAGATGGACAACGATCAATGATAAGATTCATTATTTTGAAAATATATTCAAGATGTTCTTCACATTGATCATTTTCAAGCGAAATATCAGATAGATTGAGAATATACTCACATAAATAACAAAGTGGAGTATATCCTATAAAAATGAAACGTCAGAAAAAGGGTATTCTGCTCTTGTTGGCTATTTCTGGTTCTCGAAGAGCGTATAACCGATCCGCATGAAATTCTTATCACAGACAGAGCACTTAAAATAAGGAAACACGTGTTCGAGGAAAAAATTTGTAAACAAAGTTTTCGTGATTTTCCAGGAAATTCTGCTTTTCCATAGGACTAGATCGCCTTACTTACAACCCCGTCTAACTTTGTTCGAATGAGCTGAAATTTCAACCATAGATACTTGGAAGTATTTTCCAGAGGCGAAATTTGCCGTTTTCGTTCTGAACTTTCTATCTAAACTTATAGAGTCCTGAAAGCTGACACCCTGGTCTTGAATCCGAATCTTAACATGTGTTTCTTTCATAAAAAATAAACAAAGCGAGATAGTTGAAAAATTTTAAATCACTGTTGGGATATAGCCGAAGATTTTACTAAAAACGTATTTCAGTCTGATCGAACAAAGTTACACGAGAGTCGGAAGCAGATTGATCTAGCCCTATTGAAAACCAAAGTTTTCTGAAAAGACCGTCAAAATCTTGTTTCAATTTTTTTGCTATAAACATGTGTTTTCATATTTTAGATGCTTTATCTGTGATAAAAGTTTCATGCAAATCAGTTGTATCCTCTTCAAGAACTAGAACTAATTAAAAAAAAAAGGGAGGAGATCCTTAAATAACCGAATGAGAAAGAATTTTAAAAATTTTTTATTTACCCTGTTTATCTTTTATGCAGACATTTATATTTGGTAAAGTAATCAAATATTCAACAAGATCATAATTTTCTTTTCTAATTGCAAAATGTAAACTTGTTCGATGAATATCGTCTTCTAAACTGTTATAAAAGAAATATCAATTTCATTTGTCTTGAAAACTTTCATAATTCATACTTAGGTAAAGTTCCATGTTTTAATAAAAGTTTTGTTATTTCAATATCATTTTTATGTTTTGTACCATATAATGCTATATAATGAAGAACAGTTCGACCATATCGATCGCATAAATTTGTATCTACACCCATATTAAGTACTATTCGAATTTCTTCTATATTTCCATGAATTACCGCATAATGAAGAATACTTTGATTATATAATCCATTTTTCGCATTAACATTTAATTCAAATCGTGCTAATCGATACAATTCTTCAATACAACTATAGAGACCAGCTACAGTTAAATACCATAAAAGTGTATTTTGATGTTTATCAGATCGATTTATTTCTTCAGCAAATATACTTTTATGTGTCATTTTGAAGTCACGTAATGTATGACGAAACGATGAAGTACCAGATATAAGTGCTGATCTTAATACCATATTCATATTTGTATTTAAAAAGAAAGAATGAGTAAGTATTATTTGAGCTATACGATCTGAAGATAAGGATTGTTGAGAAATTTCGTCGAATGGAATTGGTATATTGAATTTGGATAAAGACGATGTAAATTTATCTGTACACAACTTGGAAATATTATTTATCGAAGAGTCTTCTAGCATGTTCATATCAAGTATATGATATACAACATGTTGTGATGCATTAGCCAATGGTATTGATCCATTAATAACTAATTGATTGATATTGAGTGATTGCATATTGTAATTTGAAGTAAAAGTACAACATTTAGCGCTTTGTATTTTCAATATTCTATTTCGATTGTGAAATTTTCATTTGAATGAATATCTCTATTTCGTGGTATATTACAAATATGTTGCAACATACGATCGTAATCAAGTAAACGGAGTAGAAAGAATCTTCAATGAATACTTTTTTAGTCTTACAAAAATATTAAACTCAAACATATAGTAATAAGAATGGGGAAAAGTTAAATATTATTAATAGACACATGCAGTGCATTTATAACCAGTGATTTACAAAAATTTTTATAAAGCTTTCTTTGTCAACATCTATTCGTATGACGGGCACAATCTAACTGTTTATATTTTTTTGATCTAATTAGTAAGTGCAATATTCAGAACGGATTTGCTCATTATACTTTGTATACTTAGTTGATATGCAATATATTTCCAAAGTTTGATATGACAACAACTAGAAAACGATAAGAAACACTTCTAGATTTTCACCATTGTATTTATTCATTTTGTATTTATTTGTATCAACTTTTTGTTGGTGATTACATTGTTTCTCATTTTCAATAATAACAAAACACAAATGCAACAAAAATATCGTAAACACATAAGATCATATCATCACGAAAACGCTACAATGAATTGAAGCTGTTTACATGATTATCTGAGAAAGCAGCAAAATTTGATGTAAAATGCGTAGAAAAGTGAATGATTGAGGACATAGAACAAGAAAAAAGAAATTATTGGTTGGACTAAGGAAAGAAAAGAACAAGATGGACTAAGGAGGGTAGTCTTTAAAGAGAAAAAGTCTTTGGGTTGTCGCTGTTTTTCCCAGAATACATCTAAGAAGAGTTGAACGATAATAATAGATTTATTGGTTCTTAATTGTGATTGGCAGAAATACTCTTCATATATTCGTGATGTGTGTTTACGAGACTGCTGTACTTGCTATTTCTTGCTACTTTTAGCAGCTACTGCTGCTGACTTGGTGACTTTGCTTGATGTTGCAGCTTTCTTTTCGACATCTTTGAT